TATTCTAGGGTTTGTTTCATTAATGGGCAGAGAATGACAAGTATTACAGTGACTGGTTACAAATAAAGCAGATTCGTATTGTTCATTTAGGCCAGTATCAGTAATTCTTGAAGATCTTTTTCATTGAGACATACTGTAAATAGATGGCAAGGAAGAGTGGAAGTTGGTTGATCGGGGTGGGGGTTGAAGAAAGTTCCCCAAGTCCAAGCACATGAACTCATGCGTGTGATTTCCTTCTTCCCTTCTTCCAGTTCGAACAGGAGAACCAGAGACTTGTTGGTGAAATGAATAACCTCTTCGATGAAGTCAGGTAGAGTTTTCTGTTACGTGACAGACTGCTGCACATGCGGGTCCCGTAACCCAGACGACACCCACACACAGTGGATTTGCTGCAGGACACCTGGCTGCATCAATTGTAGTGGTGTGGTTGAAGCAGGCATGAAATAGAAGTACCCAGGAAACAAACCGTATGAGTTCACGCATTGTGTGAACTGTCCCACCATGTAAAGAATGGTTCTGAGTGACAAACTATCCAAAATAGTACTGGTTAAATTTGGATGGCTTACGTTCTGTCTCGCTTATCTAAGTTTTAAAGGATTAAGTTCTCCATTCATATCATGTTGCCTGCTGCATATACAGAGCGCAGTAGGGGAGGTGCAGTGTCTGACCCCCACGCAGAGACCTGTCTTCATGGCAGAGCGGCACTGCCGTTTGCTCACCGCTTGTTCTGCACAACACCTGAATGGCTGACTCAAGCTAGAGCTTTATTTTTGGATTATTAGTACTAGGGAAGGTGAATTCCACACATCATAGTAGCATATAGAAAGGATATGTCAGCATTAACTACTTAGAGTTCACCATGGGCTTTTTGTATTAGCGGAAAGAAGGAAGATAGGTGAAGCTGTGGCAGTGAATGCTGCTATCTGAGAATGTCTGGGTGGTGCCTTTCCCCGAGCTTCACTGTGGGCTGGTTGTCTTCCAACCCCAAGCTGTCAGAACACTAATCATCGGTTGTTGCTGTATAACAGACAGCTAACAAAATAGCCCAGCCTTTTGACTAGCCTGCTTACCGGCTTGGAGAATGTGAATCTGCTGGAGCAAGAAACGTTTGCGCTAGTTTCTAATGGAGTATTTCTGTTCTTTGCCAAGACAAATTGAAGGAAAAGTGGTGGAAATCTCCAGATTACAAGAGATATTCACTGAAAAAGTCTTGCAACAGGTTAGTATAATTTCATACTACAGCAGCAAATGCAGCTTGAAGATTTTCTTGGGGGTAGTTTGGTCTTTGTTGCATACAAGATGCAATCATAAGATTAATGAATCTTTGATGGAAATGTGAAGGAAAAGATTTTTTTGTTTACTTTTCAAATGCAAAATCAAGATATTTACTGTTGTTACTTATCAGTATGTACTGCGAATGGAAAATGCAATGTGTGTTAGAATGATCCCTCTGCCTCAGAACGGCTGTCCCGTTAAATGTATTACTTAACAGCATCTTTTCTGGACATGGCAGCATCTCTTCCAAAACAGTTGGCAAAAATTAGACAGGTAGAATTTGATTCTAGATAAACAGGAGACTTCCTATTTATCTTGGTGGTCTCCATTCAGGCTCCTAAAATCCCAGGTAAAGAAATTGCAACTTAACTGCCTCTATACCTTTGCATCATTGAAACTAAGATGTTCATAATACCAGATTTTATTTCATTTTTGAGTTCTGCTTGTTCCCCAAGTCCTTGGATGTGTTTTTTTTCCTAACATTTATCACTGTTTCTCAATTTTTATTTTTTTACCAGGAAACTGATATTGACAATATCCATCAATTAGTTGTGGGTGCAACAGAGAACATCAAAGAAGGCAACGAAGACATAAGAGAGGTGATGTCTCCAAGCTGTCTTATGAACTCACTTGTTCTCTTAACTTTCAGTTTTGCCCAAGTGTTGCTTTAAACAGCATGTGCGAGCGAGCTCATGGTGCAGGTGCAGGGTGTGTTGGGCTGTTGGGACACGACTTTTGGAAAAATTGTAGAAGTTAGCTGAAGTTCTCAGTAGTTTGCGTTGTTTGTCCCCCTAACCATGATTTGAACAGGTATACAGGTCTGCAGAAATCTACTTGGCCTCACCTGGTTTTTAAACAGGACGGTCACCTGGTGTGTATTTAAGCACCTGTGAAGTTTGTTTAAAAAAAAGTAAGGGGGGAGAAATTGCAGACTACAGAAACTATTGAAACTGGAGTTAAATGCTGAGCGTTAGCATAAGAGTCTCTTTACCACTCTGGAGGCATCTCACATGCTCCTAGTAAACAAATCTATCCTATGATCTTACTAATTAGAATGGAATGTTGGTTGTTTTGGTTTTTTTTCAGGAACTGAGATTTCAGTTAAAAGCAGGGTTCCTAAATTAGGCTACTGAGTAAATGGCTCAGTTTGTTTTTTTTCTTTTACCTCCTGAAAGCACATAGAGTATGTAACTCAAGGATGAGTTATCCACTGCCCAGCTCTCCTGAAAAGTGCATCAAACGTGGCATGAACTGAAGTTACTTTTGTTTTTCGTATTTGTAGGTAGAACTAAGTTTCCTAAACCATGCTGAGAAACAGTAGAGAAAGGTGGTAAATACAAAACTGTTGCTCACATTAATGTTTGTATCAATAAAAAAATCTGTTCCATGTGTAAATCTGAAAAAATGAGAGACACAACCAGGTCCCCTGCTATATGCCAATCTGTTATAGGAAGGAGAATCCCAGAAAAATACTTGCTATACTTGCTCCTTGCTCTACATGCTCTGAGACTGAAACGTGATTGACAGTGCAAAATCAACCTCCAGAAATAGTTGTCAGGTTTGAGGGTTTTTTTAGTTGGAAGATATTACTAGAATGATGAAGGCCTGATTATTTCTAATCACAGAATTTCACTTCTGGAACTTAAAACTAACCTTTAAGCATGTATCTTTTGATGTAGTTCTTAATGTTTTGAGTGTATTTCCATTGTGTGTGGGGATCCTGGGATTTTTTTGGGTGTGTGTTGGGTTTTTTTGGGGGGGTAGTGTTTTTTTGGTTTTTAATGACCAATTTTAAGATTTTGAGTGTGTGTGTGATAAATCTAAAGAGATATAGCCAACCTGACTTTTATTCACCTGAAATTAATGGCAAGTTTTATTCTTTCTCTTGTGGGAGGGATGAGTGAAGCCACTAACAGTCATCCTGGGTTGCCACTGTTGAAATTCTACTGTATATTTTACTGGTGATGGTAATGGAGATAACCTTTTCCTCACAGGCCATCAAAAACAATGCCGGATTTAGAGTATGGATCCTATTCTTCCTTGTGATGTGTTCATTTTCCTTGCTTTTCCTGGACTGGTATGATAATTAATTACAAATATAGTATTGTCTACATGCTTTGTAAAACTTTTGACATTTTTTTCAATGGAGCGGGGTATATGGCTTACCTGTATATTTTATGCCTTTTTTCGTACTGCTACGATGGAAATATTTTTGAATAAATAAGCATGTGTATATATCCATTAGTGCAGAGGGAGCTGACGGCATTCATTTTAAATCCCTTTATCAAACATAAAACCACACTTAATCCTGCAAAGAACATAGAAACCTTTGAAAGAGCTAGTAAGAAAGCTACCAGATGGAGCATAGCTAACAGAAGAAAAAAGACGATAATGGTTTTATCACTTCACCCACACATCTGTGATGTTTAAAGCCCAGCTCCCAGTGTGCCGACCAGATCAAGACAAAACTGTTACTGTGCAAAAGCATCTACGCTGTCTCAGGCTTTTATTTCATCATACCACTTCAGTACATAGTGATCATTTTGCACATGTATGACCTCTACTTCTAATCCTTGGAAACTACTTGAGTCAGAGATCAGGTTGATTTAATAGTAGTAATAATAAGTCAACTAAAGAGCTTTACTTCTAGGTGAAAAGAGAGTGTACAAAACAAACAGATTGTGCAGTGGAACAGATGTTCTGGGATGTTGGAACAAAGCCAAAGGACAGACAATATTAAAGCCAAACTCTTCGAAGTACTAAAATTGGGAGCAATTTGTTAACTAAAAAAAAAGTCTCAACTGTAGATAAGAATCAATAAACCCCCTCCTATTAAATCAGAGGAAAGAATGGTTTTGACTGCAAGAAGCATAAGCAGTCTCTTTCTCCTAGATCGTAAAGCTTAGCATTTTTTAATGTTTATTGTTATGAGAGAGAGAATAAGTTGTTTCTCATTAGTATTTCCTTGTGCATTAAAGTTTTTATTGTCCTAAATTTAAGGGGAGGGAATGTATCATGAATCACTTCCATGTAGGACGGTCTTGGGGAACAGATCTTTTCCATCTTGTAAAATCTGAATGTCCTCTGTAAATAAGTTGGTATGAAATGTGTGTTCTGCTACCTCTCTTCTGAAATGTATATTTCTATACATTATATGCAACAAGCAGCAGCATCCTTATTCTTTGCACAGAGTGAAAATGTCAAAGGTTACATGTGAATTAACTACATTCAATAAAACACATGCCTATTAGAAAATGCAAACACAGCATGTTTTGAGTATCCTAACATAAGCTTGAAGTTTTTAAAAGCAAAAAAAAAATTTGGCACATAATTTATTGCTTTTTATGCATTCCACACACCATAATGACTTAATAAAAAGCCTTTTACAGCTATACTGTGTAATGCATATTTCTTATCAAACCTAGAGAATAAGTAATAATGGTTATTTTTACTGTATTGGTAAGAAAGGCTGCTGATAAAGCAATTCTACTGGAGGAAAATAAAAGTAGAGCTGACCATGTTTATTCTACTACAGATCTCGAGAAACAGCCTGTACTGATGTTTTCCCTTCATTTTTGTACAGTCTCTACCAAAAAAAAGGAAACTTTTGACATGTCCACTGCACCTTGTGCCATTCAAGTTACATGCACAAAAACAGGACTTGCTTGCCCATATGCTTCACATGCTTGTTTTGTCTGTTGAATTAATGTCTTTTTTGTAATAGGTATTTAAGATTTATAATAAAAATGAAAACATGGTTTGACATAAAGGATATGTTTGTAATTACAATGGAACCATAACGTGCATCCACAATACTATTTTCTTCTACAGCTTCTCCCCTCCCAAGCCAAACATAAACAGTTCTACTCTTCACTCTGTTTTACATGTAGCTTTAAAACAGCCAGTTGTGTTATCTAACACTATTGTTTCACTTGTGATACTCTGTATTTTAGAAAGTATCAAACTGCAAACCATAAACTGAAAGCTCTTTCTAATTAATCAAAAGGGAAAATATTCATGTAATAAAAGAGAAAATTTAGTCTTATTACTCCAAAATTGTATCCAACAAATTACATAGTGGACCACATCTACTGTGAATAGGCCTTCTGCCTCTTAAGTATGATCAAAAGTTGTTGTTTTTCATTACAACATCCTGTACTGTGTATTTTTTACACTATCCTCAACACCCATCACTAAAACTGTCTGTGTTTTTCTGTAACATCTATCATCTAGCTTGTGTTTCAGTGCACATCCTTACCAAGATGCTAAAGCCACAGTGGAAATGCAGTTAAATCCTGCTGACAGCAATAATAAAACATTGAGCATGCCTTGTTGCAGAGAACTTCATTATCACTTACAAATAAACAACAGTAAAGAAAACGTAAGAAAAATGCTACCTGGCAGTTTCTTTCTCCATACAAGTCATTACATTATGCCCTTGACATCAATGCTGATTATTGTTCCTGCTTGAGCGAAAACTAAATATTAAATATAGCTTTCAGCTAAACAAGAGATCACTCTAGTTATGGCTGGGGTGTTTCAGTTTGCAAAGTGACAAAGAATAAAAAAATTAGTTACTAACTAAAGTGTCGGTTCAGACAATCAGAACACATGATTTATCTAAGGTCCAAGCCCTGAAAATCCAGTGAAGAAATCTGTCAGTATCCAATAAACAGCAAGAACATATCTAACATTGGATTTTTTTCTTTTAAACATTGAAAAATGGTGTCAAAGCTCTAAAGCAATGCTGATATGCACCTTGTTTTATGCCCATTAATGTTCTGCAGCAAGTTTTTGGTTTTTTTTTTGTTTTTGCAAAGCAGTATCAGCAAACAGAAGCAATTGCACCATAAACATGAGTAACCTCTAAATTATCCATAATTATATTTAATGAAAAGTTCCTTAAAGTCCCTTAGTTACCTTCAAATGACATAGTGTTAATAATTAGCTTATCATACTAAGCTGATTTCTCAGCGGCTTCCGTCTCCTGTTCAGACAGTTTCTCTTCTGACAGTACCGTCATCCACGGGGACACTGAGCGCGTGATGGTTTGTTTGGCCAGATTGTAGTGGTTTATGACTGTGTAAAATTTCCCTTGAGCACTGGAGTCTTGTTCAGAGTAGTAGTTTTCCAACCCAGCTGGAATGCACTGATTATTCTGAAAAGAAAATCCATCACTTTGATTACAGATACGGTCCCATATACAGCAGACATAGGTTAGTGGGGTTTTTTTTGTTTTTCCTTTTAGTCTAAGCCAACTTTCACTTTCTGTGAGTCAAGATGCAACACACGGCAATTAACTACAGCGTTGTCCTACTGTGTTCAAAATGTTCTTCCCTGCAATCCTTAAACTACTCGTCCATTTGCCAGAAAGACCAATCTGGGTTTATATGCCAGAATAATTAACATACAAGAAACATGCTTGCCTAAAATTATTTTTAAGAGTACTCAATCTCTAGTTCCAGCCATATTCTGCTGGGTTTTTTTCCTCCGCACCTAGTAGTTTGGGCTACAGTTAGAGATGTCTGTATCCCACCATTAGATTAGCTTCAGGCACTTTAATCCAGTGTTTTCAGTCTGAGGGACAGAAATTCATAGAGACATATCGGTGCCAAGGTATGAACAGTTTTATAGCCCAGTAAATAAGACATACAGGGAAAACATTGTGGGTGACCCAGCTTATGTGCAAGTGTGTACAAACATACAAAATACTTCACTCTTGATTGTCAGAAAGACGTAGCCAACAGCAGGCTTTTAAAAAGTTACCTTTAGCTGTGGGACTACATTACATTTCCCAGAAGTGTAAGAGCACTACATAGAAACTGCTAGATGCTCAGAGCTTCTGAAAGTGAAATACCTGATTTAGAGCATTAAATACTGAATAGGATCCAAACTTTGCTGTCATCTTAAAAACCAAAGTGAATGTGTATGTGCAGTGCATTAGTCAGCACGTATCATCTAGCAACCGTTCCAGTGATGATGCAGTAAAAGCCTAGGAAGCAGCTAGTTGCACTGAAGGAAAAAAATGACTTGAGCATATCCTGTGATCCAGAAGGTCATGGGTCTCTCCGCAGGTCCTCTGCCGTATCTTCCAGTCCAGGCAGTCTTGCCTGATACCTCAGAGTGCTGGGGCAGTCATCTGGGCAACTGAACTGACCCTCTCAAATACAAGTTGTGAGTAGCTGCAGCCTGAGGAAAAGCAAGTTTAATTATTTCTACTCTGGCTGTTTTAGAAAGAAATAGGCTGCTCAGTCTTACTGCTTCCAGCACTAGAAGACTAAAATTTGTAATACTACAGCACAGCAACTTTGAACTGCTGCTGTTCTCACACAACTTGGCAAACGAAACTTAACACTGGAAATTTCTGAGCACAGAATTACATGCAAAAATGTCATGGTTTTTAGGACTAGATGCTATCATCTCCAAAGTGTCCATATTTACTTTTGGGTTGACTCTTGTCCTTGTCGGAAAAAAACAAAACCAAAAAGTGGTATAAATAAGCACCAGTAACAACAGTTTCAAATGGTTTAAATCCTAAAGCACAAAATGACTGGGGGAAGATCCATCAGGAAGTCTCAGCTTAACATTTTTAGGATGCAAAATTTATATTAAGAGTGGGGAAAAAAAGGCATCAAAAGATATTTAAGAAAAAAGGAAGAATTGCCAAAACAACAGGCCTACAGGTAATCTTATGAACCTGCCTGCCGCCAATGAATGCAATCTTGTGGCAAATTTGACTGCTGAAAGAAGACTTGCTGTCACAAGACTAACAGTCCTCCCACAGAGTTAACACCTCATCAGTTCTAACCTGCTTGTGTGACAGAAGCCTCATCTGTGTCAGACTCACAATAGTGCTCAGTTACCACATCCACCCAGGTTCAGTTTGGTCATTATCTTCTGTTAATGCAGCAGCCACGGCAGATCTTCCCTCACCGTTTTGTTTGAAGTAGCACTACAAAGCAGATGGGATTTAACCCTGACCAAGCATACACCTGTGCCTATTCAGCACTGTCTTAAGTCAGCAGAGGTTTCCCCCTGGTCATAATCATCACATATGCCAGCTGCAAGGCTGGGACCTGGATTTAAAAAAAAATAAATATCCAGGAATCTGGAATAGAGCTATTTGATATGCATGTTCACCTAGATCAACCATGCTATCTTCTGGAAGTATTATCCATGCGTTATCTGGGATAACTGACACTACTTCTGATGTGATAAAATGACTAAGAAGTAAGTAGATACAGACATCTTTGTAGTGATAATCTCACCCAGTCATGGGATGTAGTCACAATTCCAAATATTTAAAATGGAGGAAAGAACACAATCCATTGATCTAATGAAATCTATCAAGGAAATTCAAGCAAATATAATTATTAGTGCTGAAGACAAGCCAAGATTACTGCCAGTCTAAAAAAATGCCACAGAATCTTGTGTTGCTTTTAGAAGCAATTTGATTTCTAACAGGCAAAATGACTCAGTAATGTTATTTTTTTGTAATCACAAACATGCACATCTGACAGAAGAGTCTAAAGAAACACACAGCAGTTTCCATCTTGACTGCATTTTTGCTCCTGGGATTTCATGCTTCTAGAAAAGACAGGAAAAACCTCCCCTTTTACTTGTTGCTCCTTGTGTACTGCCCAAGGACGGCCCCCTTTGCTTAGCTCCTAAACAAGGCGAGCTGTGCAGCACTCGGACTGACTGAGCAATGGGCACTGGTGTCGATTCTCATCCTGCCGCTTGCCTGAGGCCTTCCACTTACACAGAACATTCCCCTCCATCCTTTTTATTTGTTTCTGTGGTTCCCAGGTGAGAGAATTAACAAGGAAGACCATAAGGAGAAACTGGGATGCTCCAGAGTGAGTTGCCAGTCTCTTGTTTCTTTCAGAACCCTTCTATTTCAGAAATCACTGGTTGCCAGTCTGTATCTGGCTGTATTAAGATGACTCCTTTTGTTCCTTTGATGTGAAGACCCCAGTGGTATTCACTTATAAATAGTATCTTCAGTCACATTGACTTTGCTGGGTCAGTAATTCCAAACTTAATAGATGATGGTGTTGTCTTCAATGCATTGAAATTACTTTGTTGTACTGTCCCCGAGTCTGACAGAACACAGGTACCTTGGCAACAAAAGCTAAAGGGTAACAGATGCAGTATGGAGCATACTGAAGCCCTGGAGAAATTCATCCAGGATGTAAGGGCATTCAGGTCTTTGAGGAAAACTCTGGTGAGTCTCACCAGTAGCCAGTAGAATGCTTGAGAGGAGTGATCTACACAACAGCAGTACTAGGGCTGCATCAGAAAGTTTGAGCAAGTGCAAAATTGAGGCTCAAGTAGTTTAAGATTGCTATAGAAAGGAAGATGAGCACCTTTTTAAGCACGCCTTCATGCCTTGGATGCATAGGACAGCAGAAAGGCTGAAAACACTGAAACCTTTGGAACTGCTCCATGTATGAGAGCATCAAAACAGAGAAGAGAAAGTCTGATTCAGATCTGTGGTAGCTCAGCCTTTATGCAGAGATTCCTCTGGTATCAGGGTTGCTGAGGCAGGGGCCGCCTTTACCCTTAACCAGGAAATCACATCAGCATCCTAAGCCTGGGGACATCCAGGCCAGAGAACGTTGATGAGTCCACCTGAAGCACGAAGCCAGTCCACAGAGACATTGGTCCCAAGGTGACAGACTGCTTCATGTCTCTTAGGATGTCTGTGCCAAGCTATGCCATGACGTATTATGGACTCCCCCCAAAAAAGATGCAAAGGCAACAAATACAAATTCCTGTCAACATTGCTAGTTTCAGGCCTTGTATCATTTGCTAATGTGTTTATCCTGTAAAACTCTTAAAAGAGTTACAAGATCAAAGATGCTGTGTCTCCTGGTGTTATGCCACCGAGCAGCTAGGAAACAGCCTCCAAAAAACCCAACACTGTCAGAATAATAGTAACGCAGCCCTGTGTATGTGCTGCACCTTAAAAACAAACTCTGAGCTATGGGATGCTGTGCCTAATGTCTGTTTCAAACACGGGGCCCTAAGAAGAGAAACCCGACCAGACTCTGTTCACAGGGCAACTGAAATATAGCTCACAAACTGTTCTCCCCTGAAATATTTGCAACACTAGGAAGAAAAAACAAAAGAAGCCAGAAGGCTGCAACTCAAAGGAGGGGACAACATAGTATGAAAGGAATCAGAAGCAGCAGACTGTTACTAGACTTACGACAGGAGCATGTAACTGGCCGTTCCTGGTTAGGATCACATCAAGATAGGCTAGGTAGGAACATACAGTCCATATTCCAAATTGCTCAAAGCCAAGAGAAAGCTTAGAAAAAAAAGGCTATTGTCCCATGAGACAGAAGCTCAGGGGGGTTTCAGTGCTTGTCTGAGACAACACAAAAAAACAACAGCAGAAACAAAAACTGGATCTCTTGACTTAGAACCAAACATTCTAACCACAATATCTTTTGCCCTTGAACCAATGGAAAGCAGTAACCTAAAATTGAGTGCTTGGAGCCAAGTTAATCCAGCAAGGCATCACTGATTGTAATTTTGGACTAGATTTTTGTAAGGTATTTATGTGCCTGAAGTGACAGAATCAAAAGTCCTGAACGGGAACTTCAAGGAGTGCTGAGGCAGCCATTCCTTTTTAAATCCTTTGGAAGATCATACTGGGTACCCATCTGATTCATTACATGACTAAATATTCTTTAAAAATTAGAGGGAATGCCATCATCACTGCTGCTTTTCTTATCTAATTGCAGCCAAGTTCAACCCTGCTAAATTTACAGCTGAGAATCTATGTTACTTTTCTGACTTTCAGCCCAGGTCATAGCTGAGGAGCCGGCACTACCATCTTGCACGAATGAAGTGGGCCCCAGCCTCCCTTTTGGTTAGAACCACTGTTTTTTCCAATAAATGTGTTTTCCCTTTCTTGGCATCACTTCTGGCCTGTGGCAGTAGGGCTCTGAGGTCACTGTTCTAGAACAAGAAGTTCTTTCTACAAAAATAACCCTAAGGTAACTCTGCTACTCTTAATGAGAACATCACTCTGCTGTTTCTTTGACACATATTCCAGAGTCTGGTTTTTTTTTTCTCCAGGTTTTATCATTCTCTTCTTTCCTAAGACACATGAATTTGGAGGAACATGCAACATTAAACCATATGAGCCAATAAACGAGGGCTTTGTCCAGACAACTGCAGACGAAGGAAGTTTGAAGGACACTGGTGTTAGGACTTTTGTTGTATTTTCTATGTTTAAACCAGTAGCAAAATAACAACATTATAAAAACTGTGCAATAGTACAACCTCAATTATAAATTAAGCAGAAAGAAACATAGCAGGAAGCACACTAACCTATGAAAACAAACACAAATTTCTATGCAATACAGCATGACTTAATCAAGGTTATGCAGAAAACAACACAGAGAATATTACATACTCTCCTATTTTTCTAGAATGTGTATGCAATTTACCTTGAAAACAAATCCTTCTGGGCAGGTATGATCGTACTTGTAAACCTTGTAGACTACCAGAAATACAACACACGTTAAGAATGCAAGGGCAAAAAGGACCAGCACCGTTACCTGTAAGGAAAAATAAGACATGCTTATGTTAGTAATGCACTACTTATTATATTGCTTTTTGTTACTGTAGGCAGCAGAAGCCAGCTGTGAATGCATTTTACAGTAAAAATCAAGCAAAGTATAAAAACACCTTCTTAATTATTGAGGGAGAACAGGGAGGCAGCACAAAAGTGTTTCTACCTCCCCCTTCTCAGAGAAGAATGCAGATCATCTGGTCAGTGGCCTGTTGCCTCTGTATTGCAAGGCTTTTTTGGTTGCATTTCTGTTCACTGTACATGAGGCCAGAAGGACACATCAAGATAGCTTGGGTCTGCTGCTTCTTCAGTATTTGGATGATGCAAGTGTAAGTCTAGTTTATGTCAGCTGGTAAGCATGTTTGTTTTCCCTGCGCCTGTCCAAGAATGGAGTCAGGTAACAGTAAGTTAGCACACAGGTAATACAAAGGTGACTCTAGCAAGGCAAGGAGAAAGTAACGTCTGCCCTCTCTTGTTAGGGTAAGAGTTTGTTGCACCTGCTATGAATGTATGGATAGTTACAACAGTAGTCTGCATGCTTCGTTGCTCAATGCTCCTTAATTTATAGGTTGAAACAGTACTTATTTGTCACACAGAGACTGTACAGGAGTAGTTCACTAACAGATCCATAAGGGAATACACCATGTTCAACATAGGGCTAGCCTTGAGGAGTTCTGTTGCACCTCCTTGCACAGAGAAGCCTTTACAGGCTGCGTTACCTGGCACTGACTTTTCACCACGTCCTTAAGTTCCTTCCTGGTCTTGAATTTGGGCTGGAGGAAAATCCAAGACACACCTTAAGTTGAATCTGAAATCAGTGTCAGTATCAAGCTAACCTTTCCCAGGAATAAACTCCGAGCAACGGGAGACCTGCAGCCTTTTAGGTGAGATGGGGGACAGAACTATCTCTAGAATTACCTCACCCATTGACAAGAGAAAGCACAAGATTTTGGCCTAGCAGTTTGTGACTGTGTGCTCTTACCCCTCCCTGCTTAAGCTATAACCACCAGTGGGGGTTATGATGGCAGCATCCAGCTTACTCTGGACATTCGGCAACGGATGGCAACACAGTAGCCACGGGCTGTCTGGAATGGTGACCCAGACATCTTGCTGGTATACAAATATGACTCTAAGTCCATCATCTTACCCTGTCAATAGTAGACAGCCCAGGGCCCACTGAGCGCTCTTACACAGCAGCGGGCTGCACACCAGGTTCTCCCCTTGAGCAGGGACGCCTCTCAAGGTTACTCCTCGAGGTTGAGAGATTCCTTGCCAAAACAGATTCTCGGTAAGTGATTAATAGCGTGCTAAACTTCGAAATCTTAGCTAAGTGATATAAAGGACTGATTGCACATATATAATCCTTTAGACATAAACCACTGACCAAGTCTAGGGCTAGGAGTGGATCCAGCCACACCCAGACTCCTCTCCAAGAAGGAGTTTAGAAAGCAAGGGGGTCCTTTCTGAACCTTGTGACTCAATGGGAGGGTCTCCCCGACAGTTTTGTCTGACCCTGTTCTCTATGCAGTAAATAATCAAGTGTACCTTGCCGTCGAATCTTGTTAAACCACTGTGACGTTTACCATTGAACTTTGTTACACCAATAATGTATATTGTTGCTCCTCTCTTACCAGCGAAGTGCATGACTCCATCCACGACGCAGTTACGCTGCAGAGCTCCCTAATTCTGACCCGTTTTTGTGGAAGGTGCAAGCTGAGCAAATAGTATTCATTACCCAGGAGAGTGTCCCAGATGTGTTTTTATTATTCTAAAGCTTCTACTGATAGACAAATGAGTAGCTCAAGGAGATGACAGAGTAAGAGTGGTTGAGCTTTTTTTTTTGGCAAGTTAGAAAGAAGCCAGCATGCGCTACAGCATAAGAAACAGTAATAAACAGTAACAAACAAGATTACGTGATTAATTAATTAAAACAAAGTACAATATGATCTAAATTTTAAAGGAAGATGAGTAAGCCAGCTACATACACCTCCTAAAAAGAGAACTTAGGCACATCAGGGTCAATTATGCAAACAAGAATAGTCTGGTATTTCAGAAAGCAACAAAAAAAATTGTAGCTTTGCCTCTTGGCAAAAAAAACCCCAAAACATCACACACTCCCTTTATGATAAATCCCAGAACTAATAGGATTTGCAACACTGCAAACCGCGTGTGGCAGTGCGACTAGTACACTGAAGGACTGAGATGAACTTTTAGGAACTTCTCATGCTGGGCAAGCGAACTTCACCATGGGCAGACAACAGCAAGTGCTAAATTTTCTGGCTGAAACAAGGTTGGGGAGTATCGTGTGCTGCTGAAGCCAAGGATTTTATAAGGATTCTTTACAGAAAATAAGAAAAAAAAAAGGAGCGCTGGAAGAGGGGCAGGGAGAATTGCATATCAGAAAGTAATTTAGCAGAAGAAATGTAGATATTAATCTAACAATGCCAATCGAAATGAGACATGGAGCAAAGGGCCTTTCTGGTTAACGGCAACATCTTCATTTTCTCAGAACATTCATTGGATTATTAAAAAAAAAATAAATTCATATTCTTAATGACCCTCCAAAAACTTCACACTCACATCCATTTTCAAATCCAATTAGTCTTTCCCCAAGTTTATTACTCGCTTACATACACAAAAGGTTAACATCTATAGATCACTCTATCTTGCCAACTTCGTATTTTCTGCTCACGTCCCATGTCTCAGTATGTCCTGCAAGAGATAAAGCGCATTTTCCTTTCTGGTCATTCTCTGTGGCCCAGTTTAATAACAAACATAACCCACCCCACTCCCCACAATTTCCGGCCATTCTATGCCCTAGCGCAGCCCTTCTCGCATGTTTTTAATCAGGCCTCTCCCATTTTTCTTCTACGGTTTCTTGGGCCCCTTCCTGTCTTTCCTCAGCCACCCCACCCACACACATGTACAAGGCCCTTCAAACCTTGCATCCCGTCTTCCAGTGTTTTCCCCTCCCCACAACTGTAACAAGCCTTATTCTCTGTTCTCCTGCGAAAATTCTCCTTGCACTCCAGGCTCCAGAAAAACTGACCTTTCTCCCCTAAGCTTGCATTTCCTACTTGGGGCTCCTCCACCCACCTCCCTAATGCCTTGGTGGTATCTCCAAGTCCCACACACTGCCTGTGTCATCCTGTACCCGTATGCAGATGTCCAGGGTCCACCGGCCCCACCACGCCAAGGGGCTGTCACCATGCCTGGGCCCCAACACAGGTCTGCAGCCCTGTCTGCCTATGGGGCCGTGGGCGCAAGGCTGCCTTTCCCCTGCTGAGCTCCAGCTGCTGCTGGGCAGCATGGGAAGATGAGGAACGAAAAAGGAGTGAACGCTCCTCACCCAGCCCAGCAGCTCTACAGCACGCACACACAGAGCCCAGTTCAAGTTGCAGGTTTGGGGTCATTCACTTCCCACTGACTCAAAGCGGGCATTACACTGGTCATTTCACTCTGACAGTCACTGCTCTTACCCTGAGAAAGGAAAGGGAAAAGAGACTAGAAAGTAGGGACAGAAAAGATAAAATCTGGCTTCCCATGCCCTACAAGTTATATTCCACATAGCCTTCGACAGAGGCTGCTCTCTCTAGGAGCACACGCCTGTGACATGGGACAGGGTCACCAAGCAGAACAATGGTACAGATCAACACAGCTGACATTTGTCTCTTCCATAGATAGGGGTAAACAGTTTAAAATGCTCTGAAAAATATTCTCAAATCTCAAACCATTTTAACCATATTCCCTGGCCACCCTACTAGCAGGGAATAGTAGAATTATAACATTATTTCCCAGCTGTAACCATCTTGACATACAGATGAGGCCCCAGGAACATACTGTAAAGCTAACAAGCTATTTTGTAGTTGAGGCTAAACATTAGTCAACAGAAAAAGATTTGTATTTCCACAGTCACCGCAGGATCACTCTCTCGAAGCCTCTAAAACTGTTCTGGAAAGTGATTATGTTTTTTGAAAGAGGTCACAAGCCCAGCACTGTGCGGGTTGCCGGAGCCTGGCAAGTTGCAGAGCCACAGCCCCAGGACTGATTTACTGAGACACAGAGCATTTACCTGTTTCAGTGACCTACGTGAAGCTTAGAGTTCTCCCTGCTCCTACAAGTCATGTCCAGCATGGTTCCATTGCCACACAGTAAGCCACTGAGAAGAGCTCTGAGGGCGCCTGGTTCACAATTCTCGTGGAATCTTTCTCTCTCACTTACTATGTTTCCTCATGTTATTAATTTTGGTATTAATATGTAAATTTTTACACTCATTATCTCCAATAATTTGCAATCACGCTCCATTTGCAAATCCCTAATCAAGTAAGCTCTTGTCCTTCCTATTAGAAAAGAACCTCGCTGCTCTCACCATCTTTCAAGATATGAGTAACTTCTATTTAAGTGAAGGACAGTTGCACATTCAAACGACACAGATGGAGAGAAATCCATCACTGGATTCCAAGGTGATTGCAATCACCTGTTAATTCAATCCACTTATATAATCCTTATAAGCTGAAAATCCTTCTCTTCCTTCTAAGAGCCGTTTTCTTTCACTCTCATAATAACCCACCACTGATGGTCCACAATTGTCAGAATCCCAGCTTCACTCCTAAACCTGAGAGAGTCAGCTTCTCTCCACTGCCAGTAACGCAGCGCGACCCCACCTCTCTGCCTCACCTTCTGAGCGCTCTCCTCCCAGCTGCCTTTCAGAAATAAAGGCATGGAAAGAGGGAAGGTGACCAGCTGCTCTTTAGACTGCTACCAAAGCTGTCATTTTACTGCTTTCTTCCACAGTACCTTTGCACACTCACTATAAACTAAAGGAAAGTTATTCTCTTCTTCCTACCGAGGCACTAGTAGCAACTTGCCCTCTTCGTTAGTTCAAGGTAGGAGAGGATGCAATGCATGTTCAAGCACCACTCTCTCTGTCCTGGAAGGAGATCTTGAATCTCTTCTCTTTATGGCAGCCAGCTGGCTGAGTGCGGG